GGCAATAGGCTCGCCCACGGCTCCTGCGCGCTGATAACCGGCCATCTTGATCTTCGTGTATTCATTTGCCCCCAGTATCACATGGATGGGAAGGAGTTCCTTTGTGTCGGTTTCTTCCATTCGGACACCTTTCAGATGTGGATATCGCCCCAGCATCTCAGGATAGTTAGGATTCTCCAGGGCTAGTAGCTCGCGCTGTTCGATTTTCGTCACGCAGACCGGTAGCACGCACTTCTCTAGTGTATCGCTTATGTTCACATCGTAGGTCTCGACGCGCTTGGTGACCAATCCCATGATTGTTTTAATACCACGTGTCAGGGTGCGAGAAGGCTTTACTTTCAGGAGATTCACCAAGAAGGCTGATATGTACGATCCAGTGGCCCCAGTGTCAAGTAACGCACGGCATTTCACTCCATTGACCTTGATTATAACTACTGGGTGGCAGACTTTCTCCCCCACGTGTGCGGCGGTTATTGCAGCTCCTTCGTTTGCAGGTCGGGTAGGCTGATCGCAGATAGATGTGTGATGCCTCTGCTTACAGCGAGCGCAGTTTCCTCGGCTTCGACAGCGAGCTGCTCGATGAGGGCCAGTGCAATTAAAACAAAGCCTCTTCTCTTGTAGAAATTTCTTCCTGTCGGCGGCGCTTGAGATAACTGTACAATCACTAGGCTTGTGTGAGGTGTTATTGCAGAAAACACACCCCCGTGGTGCATTCGGGTCTTGGTCTTCTACGTAAAAACTTCTGTCACGGGATTTCGCGATTTCACGCGGGTGAATCTCCTTCCACTCGCGAAGGGCGTTGATAAGCTGAGTGAAATCCCACGTTTTCCAGTCCGGTTTCCCTTGAACTAGTTCCGCTTTGATTCCCGGCAGCTTGTTCAGGACTCCTCGAACCAATGCCTTACAATCCGACGTTTTTCCCAGGGTTTCAAGCGACTGAACATTGTACAGGAGTGTCTCGACGAAATCGTGAATCTTCGCGCGATGTGTTCCCGAAATTGGATGTTTTCCACATATGCATTAATAATCTCGCTTGTCTGGCCGTAATTTGTTTGAAAAATATTTTTCGCACGCTCGTAGCCTTCCGATGTAAAACGAAGGCCATCGATCCCCTTTCTCACTCGCGGCTCCACTAAGTCCTTTACATAGGCGAATTTCGTGACCGCAGGCAGACCCGTGTTGTCAATCTCCGCCTCAAATTTGTTCCAAAATGCCAGCCAGGTCTCAAGGGCTCCATTGTACTTTGTGATGGCAAGCTTCAGAAGTTTGACATTCTGTTTACTCGGAGAGGCAAACTTTTCCTTTTCGAACTCTGCCTTCTGCTCCAGTTGCTGTCTTTCGAACTTTAATTGTTCTTCACGCTGGCGGGCCAACAGGGTCTCCTTTGTTTCTCTTTCTTCATTCTCCGCATCAGCCACCATTCGTTTCACACGCTCTTCGAGTAAGGTGATCTTCGTATCTGCGGCGTCGATTTTCAATTCGAATTCTTTCCCCCATTCTTTAACTTCGTCTAAGGCCTCCCCACCTTCAAGCTTGGCTTGTTCGACCTCTCTCTTTATTTCTTCCGCGCCGATAACAATGCTCTGTAAAGCTTCTTTATGTCGACGAATTTTCTCGGTGATCCCGGTACTAATAATACCCTCTGTCTTCTCTTGGGTGAGCTCCAAAAGCTGTAGTTTTGCTTTCAGTTTTCCGATAAGCGTCTCCATTATTCTCACGGTCCCGTCGGAGGTGCCACTTTTGTCGTGAATGCTAACGCAGAAACTTCACGATTTCTCAGTTTCAAGGGTTTATTCCAAATACGAAAAGTTCACTACGAAAGGTACACTCGAAATCTAAACCCAACTAACTAAAAAAAGATTAAGATAACATGCTTAAAAACAAGGTATCGAAATTGATCCCTTATTGATGTACATTCCGATCACTACCACGATAATTAAGTGTCCATCTTGATTGTCACGCAAAGTTATAATCTCACACAGGAGTTATCATAGAAGCATTGCTCTGGTCGTCTATGATTGCGTACGTGCGATGGGACTGCTGAGGGCGATTCTCACAGAGAACGTCAACGAGAACAATCTTGCTACAAGACACTCCGCCGCTGAAGGGGTTGTGGCAAACCGAAGTGCAGGCCGTTTTAAGCTCCTCGCCGTGCTCCGTACGTGTCGTGCCAGGCTTCTCTTTGTGAAGTGCCGTGGGATGACGATCGTCCCCGCATTTGGCGCATTTTACGGTTGTATTGCATTCGCTCGATCTATGTCCTGCTGATAAACAGCGAAAACACAGTCCTGCTTTGAGAACACATTCGTTTCTCACTGCTAGTGCTTGTTTTTCAAAGGCTTTGCATTCGGCTAAGAGGTGTCCCTTTCGCTGGTGATAATGACAGTACTTCTCTTCTCCAAGCTCTGGCTCCTTCTTTGGCTCGTTTTTGCCGTCCAAGCCTGTCTTGAGGACTCTCCTATTTGGGTCAGTGTCTGTTTCGGGAAGTCGTGGTCTGTGTTCGCGGCCTTTCGGTTTACGATTACTAGGCTGAGCTGCTGCCAAAACGTTCGGGTGATTCTTTAATCGAGCTTGCTCTTGGACCATTGCGGCAAAGTCTTTGAAGCTAGGGTAGGCATCGTCGTATTTCTCTGCATACTGGACTACACGCTTCTCCCATTTCGAGCGAAGGGAGTGGGGTAAGTTCTCGATAATAGGGCCTATCGCGGTTAAGTAGTTCAGGCACCCGAGTCCTGGAAGAAAATCCAATTGGCTGTCCACGTCAGCGCATACGTCAGCGAAAGCCTGAAGTTTGTCGCTGTCTTCTTCTCCAAATTTGGCCGCTGTCTGAAGTCGCACTAAGAGAACGTTCGTGATGGCGGCGGTATTCCCGAAGCGTCTCTCCAGCTCCTTCCACACGTCGCGCAAGGCGTCGGCAGGATTCCTATATTGTCTCTGACGGTAGTTATTAACTACTTTTTGTGCATCTCCTTTTGTATAGCTTCTTAAGTAGTTGATCTCCTGATCCGGTGACACGTTTGCATCTTCTATCATGGCACGAAAAGCACTTTTCCATGGGTGGAAGAGTGTCACGTCTCCTGTGAATATCTCCGGGTGGCACTTAGGAAGGTTCTGTCGCGCTAACGTTGCAACTAGCCTTTGATTTACTGTCGTGAGATCGTCTGTGGGAGTCGACGCGAAGGGATGTGTTCCTCGGAGGCCAAAAAGGGGCGTGTTTCCTATAACACTTTTCCCTGGAGGTGACTTTTCAAAGCTGGCAGCGTTTGTGCTGGGTAAGGGCTCTTCTTTTACGCATGAGCGAGCATTCATGAGTTCGCTTTGAATGAGCTTAGTGTGTGATACCTTTCCCGAATCGTGTTGGGGCTTGGGTACCCTGTGCGATCCAGTGTCTCCATAGTCCCTTGTGCATTAATCCAGGCTCGCGTTATCTCTTGTGTGTCGATAGAGTTGTCCAAACCTGGGATAGTAACCATAGTGGCTTTCTCGTCTTCCTCCTCGATAGACTGCTCAATAGCTTTTAGTTTGGCCTCGGCGATTGCCAGCTTCTTATTTGCTGTTAACACAGCTTTGTCGCACTCGAATCTTGCCCTCTGAGACTGACGTTTTCTCTCTTCTTCGGCTTCCATTTCAATTCTCTCCCTTTCTTTCTCGGCCAGTAATCGGTCATATTCCGCTTCTTGTCTCGCTGCAGCGGCTTCGGCCAAGGCTTTCCTTCGTGCCGCGCTAGACGAGGTAGACGCGCGAGACGAGAGGGTCGAACGCGTTCGCGAATGTTTCCGAGAACTTTGCGAAGCAGAATCCATTTTTTCGCTTAAAAGTGGCTCCAAGGGATTTTCCGAATTGTTTCCTATTGTTAAACTCCCGCTCCTTTGTGCCATGTTAACATATATCGGCGAAAATATACGAATACTGATCTTGGGGGCGGTGCGCCATGTGCTATTGCATAACCAAGTTGCTTGCTTGATGCGATTCTTAGAACTCCAGTAGAATAGGTCGAAATAAGCTTCTCACTAAAACTTCTCACTGTCGCGTTCCCACGGGTGGAGTTCGCTGTGATCAACCACACGCTCCGTACTCGATTAAAGTTCGTTTATTGCAGTATCAATGAAGCATATGGTGAGAACTGAAAACATACATAGACACGCGTTACGCAAGAAAATATAACTAAAATTAAAAGGAAATCGAGCGTAAAACAAACCTAAAATGAAAGACAAAAATGGAAAAGAACTTACGTTATAGTTCCTCCAAGCGTATTAAAGAAAGGAACAACAAAATAGGAAAAAACTGAATGAAATAACTCCGTAAAAAACTCCTTGTACTCTCCGATAAGATCTGGTAAAAACTCCGAGGCTAGACAACTGTGATAATAATGATATATGTCAAACTGGTAAAAAATTAACGAATTAAACAAAAATACGAACGAGCGTAACGCAATATACGATTTCACAACAGGCCCCATGCGGCGTCGTCGGGGAAGTAATAGCGTACGTGGCAGGCGTTTGAAAGGGAAGGGAAAGGGAGTTTTAGGTGCGAGAGAAACGCGAGGGGCGCGCCCCTCGCGTTTCCCTCGCGCCCAAAACCCCCTTTCCCTTTCCTTTCAAACGCCTGCCAGGCAGGCTAGGGAAGTAAACACGTCAGCCCTGAGCAATGGAGGAGAACGAGGAACTATTCGATAACGACTGTCAGGAGCCTATGGCCCCTACGATAGTTGAAAAATCGATAATTATCGATTTGTCACATCAGATCCTTCTATAGATTTCTATCTATTTCCGATACAATCAATTGATTATCATCAATAATTATCAAATACTATCGGTTATCGATTTTATCGATTGAACACACAGGGCCTTCCCGAGAAAGGATACATTACATGACCTGTCTTAGCAACAGGCTCCACGCGACGTCGTCGCGGAAGTAAACACGTCAGCCCTTATAATTAGCCCGTTTTCGGTTTCTCCTGGTTAGGTGGTCAGTCAGGAAACGACAGTTAGCCCTAAACAATGGAGGAGGACGAGGAACTATTCGATGAATCCTTAAGTGAGCGAATTAACCACTCTTCGTCTCAGAGATCCTTTTCTACTACTGTGTTCAACATTCTGTGCGGATTTAAAAACGTCTTGTGTTCCGGCATGTTTGTTAAAGGATCGGCGTTTGTGGTAGGTTTTTGGTATCCCAGCAAAGGACTCCGCGCTATAATGGCCGTAATTCCTTTACTTGTGGATATATATTACGTCTTTGTCTCTTTGTTTAAGGCTTTCATCTGCAGGCAGCTGCAAACGCCCCTGAACACTTGGCTTTGTGGAAACACTTCCTCTACAAATTCATCACCTGCAAGTTTAGCAGATAATTTAGACAGAATTGAACTGCTTGAGCTTCTGTCATTGGTTTTATCCTCTGCTGTACTGATGTCAAACGCGACATTCTTTTGGTGTATGTGGAAATTGCAACAAAGGACAGTTTATTGCGTGACCCTGGAGAAGGCGTTCTCTACAGCAGGGCGTTCTATTTGGGTTACACTTAATGTCTCGATGTTGATCTTTGGCCTCTTTATTGTTGTAGAGGTATTTTGGTTCCATTTCAATTTCAAAGAATCGTCCTATGGTATTTTTCTACATTTTTTGAGCGATTCACCAGAGTGGGCCCTCCTCACCAGCTCCTGGACGTTTGTGGTTATTACCAACGCAATGAAAGATTGCGTGATGCAGTGCCAAGCAGAAATTAGACAAAACTCTATTGACTGCAGCTTAGATGACGTCATTCGTATTCATAAACGTCTCTGCAAACAGATGTCAAGCACATCCGAGTCCTTAAAGGTCTGGTTTGTAACTCACTGGTTTACGTTAGCTGTTGTGGCTGTCATTTACGTTTCAAGCACGCTGTCATTTTTTGAGCAAGTCAAAGATTGGTACCACTTGTACCAATATTTCCTTTTAAGTCTTATAGCCATTTATGTATTTGTATACCCAAGCTACTGTGCTGCATCTGTAACAACACAGTGTAATCGAATGCTTAGGGAACTTAACATGACAACAGATGAAGACTGGCCCACAGGACACCCATTCTGCAACCGCTCCCAGCTGGCACTCTTCCTACAGTATGCACAGTACACCAACTGTGGCTTTCAAGTCGGGGAGATTGCTTTTGGTGCTAATTTCGCTTGGTTTTCAACTCTAATTGCAATGTGTGGCTTGGGTGTGAAAGTCTTGTGATTCATACTAAACAATTCAGAAGTCATTGTCAGTCAATGGCAACTGGCACTGATTGGTAAGCAAGCAGAAAAATGAATGGGGATAAGCAAGAAAGGTAACAACCAAAAATATCTATTTCAGTAAAACAACTTTTGGTTCTGTCTTGTGATTAGTGTGCGTTTGGAACGTGGACCTTATATTTTTGGAAAAACCCAGCCTCATCCTTAGCTGGGAAAGATTATTTCCAAGAGGAGAATTTCAAATGGTCCCAATTTTAAATAACATGCAGCTGAGAATCAAACCAAGGTGAGAAAGAACACAACATTTACCTGAAAATAACACTATGGGAAGTCAAACGTATCAAGTGTTAAGGGTAAAATATCTTAAACGTCAATCAATCAATCAAGGGTTATTCCAAATTACTCTTTAGCTCTCTTTGGGCCCCTTTCCCTCAGAAGCTTTGTACTCTCGTATTGAGGCAATATAAATGCAAACCAATGGATAGGGTGTAGTTTTCGAGGTGCCCAATCCATCTTTCCTCCTCGGCCTTTTTGGTAGTGTGGATCACAGGATCTAAGCCTATAAACTCAGCCTCCTCCTCAGGCGCTTCGTTTTTCGCAAGGTAGAGGCGAGTGACTGGTGATGAACCGCAAGGGACCATGGGAAGGGTAAAGACGCGCCTTCCCTTGCGCGCACATTTTCATCGAGAGAGAGACGTCTAGGTAAGAGTCAGCTATAAACTACTGTCAAAAACATGAACTACCTACAAGCCAATTTTTTTTACATATTAACAGAATGATGCAGCTATGTTTTCTCTAAAGTTAACGCTTCGTGGGTCCTTTATGAATATCCCCGTCGAGAAAATAGGTCACAAAAACGTCCTGCTGTATTTACATAAACCCCCTCTAATTAGAGACTCATATTTGGGCACAAAACCTCCAACGAAGGAGCTTTTACAGATGACATGCTAAAAATAGTTTCGAAAGGAGGCTGTGTTGAAGTACTGAAATGCAAGTCTAGTTTTATTATTCCACTAATAGAATGAAATAACGACTTGAAATACCCCTTACTTGTCGAGTTATCCGTCCCGATTGTAAGTTACCGAGTGGATTTTTTCCCCATAAATCAACGGGAAAAATGAGGATCCGCAACTACGGACCCAGAAAAAGAGATTATAAAGATACTATAGGATATCTATTTTATCCCCGAGGATAATTAGGCGCCCAGGAAAGAATAATTGCAAATTTAGCGGCTCGTTCGGGAGATTACGACCCTCAAAATTGTCTGATCACAGCGCAGCGGGTACTAACCAGAGAGATATACCTAATACAAATTATGATTAATTAAAGGTGATTTGCCTAACGCTAGCCTTTCTTTATAACGAACCCTAATCAAATGAATAAGGATTCTAAAGCTAGAATGGCGCTGCTTGATCAACTGAGTTTATAAAGTAAATTGGCCACCATAGAGAGATTGAGAAGCTGACGATTTGACAACTAGTCCTTCGTCGTAGCGGATCTGACGAACAGATAACCGTGTTGGAACATCACCTTTTTAATCTTACTTAGTTGTTAAGATCAAACTTTAGTTGCAAATCTTTATCAGATCGATTCCGGTGCTCTGTCGCATTTTTTATCCTGCATGAACTTTTGATATAATGTTGATTTTTCGTAATTGCTCGTGTTGAATTATACAAAGGCGTAACAAATAATTGAATTGATTCTCTTAATTACAAATGTTAACGTTCAATATCAAACTACTCTGAAGATTATATTTGAAAACACTTTATTCTGCAATTCATTATATACATTGATCACAACCCTTGAAGCGGATTATACAAAATAAATATCCTGTTAAACGCATGCGCGATTTCAAACTAATTTTCGTCCGTTTACTTCGTCCGGGGATTTTCGTACGTTTCACTATAAATAGAACCGGGCATGTTCAGATTCCGTTTGGAAGAGAAAGTATGCTTGTGAATGAAAGATGTGAATGTATACGATCAGCTTTTGACCTCGCTTGCTGGTCTGGTTGAGACTGGAGTTTTAAAGCGACAAGGCCGTTCTTAAATTTATGATGTGATTGTAGAGTTTCACTGAGGGTCCTAGTTTTAAGTTCATTCCCTTCATTAGCATCTCAGGGGACAATGAAAGCAGCGCTTTACCATCAATCTCCTACAACGGAACAAAAATTAAATACAAATTATAAAACATGGCAAAATCAGACCTTTTTGACTTTCAAAAAGGGAAAGACAGGCTTAATTACAGCATACAAGGCAGGGTATACACTTTTTACGTTCTTTAGGATAAGAAAAAATGTGAGGAATAAGATTATCATGGTATGCCAATTTTAGTGTAATGTTGCGGATAGAAAACTCGTTACTATGCTAGATGCACACTATATATGTATCGTTCATGACACGTACAAAAAGGAGCTATTTGTTTCACCCAAAAGTTGCCCATTTAAGGGAACCCAAGACAGTCTTGGATTCTGTATCCCACGCAGTGATTCAGGTACTAAATACCGGGTTCTTTGTCGGATCCAATCGTAAGTGGGGCTTCGGATTCCTTAAGCTGTATCCCGGATTCCAAAGCCTAGGATTCCGGATTTTACGGATTCCAGATTCCACAAGCAACCATTTCCCAGATTCCGGAATCCGGATTTTCTTATATGAGAGATAAAAGATTAAACGTCTTTGACGTGCGTCCACTATCTGCAACATTAGGCTGATTGAGTAACAGAACGGGAACGTCATTTGACGACGGGAAAGCGTGCGGAAAGGACTAAGCTCTACTTCCGGTGCCCAATTTGCCGCTCAGCCATTGGTCAAGCCAGTTGTTTGATTTGCGCTCACCGTCGTCAACTGACGTTCCTGTTCTGTTGCTAAATCAGCCTTCGAGAACACCGCAGGGCATTAAGACTGGTGCCTGCATCAAATTGAATGAAGCTATACCACATAAACATACACCATTTGCAGGAAGCCATTACGACGCCTGAAGAAAGATCATGAGGTTATCCCTGTATTAAGGTCTCTCCTTACAGATAACCCACCCTTCCCAGGGAAGGTTGGCCTCACCACCGGGGTCTACATCCCCTACTCGTTTCGAACAGACTTAGGATTCTTTTACGTCCCACAAGAGCCAGCTAAGTGAAAGTGCTGTTAGACGGAACCCACGGGTTTTCGTCCTTATCCAAGAAGACTAGAAAGTCTAACCGTTTGCAGATGTCACTGAAGGCAGCGCTTTCATCTTAGTTTTTTAAGACCCTGAGTGTTGGTCCGTAGTCTGTAGTTATTCCATTCTTTTACAGGAACTTCTATTTATCGTGCAAAAGTTGAAAGTACTGTTATGAACACAAGTCTGCTGAGTTGAAAGAAGGAAAATCAAATTCGAAAAAAAATTGATATCAATACATTTTTTTAAAGCGCAATACAAAAATGAGTGCGAGTATCAGCTTGTGTAATCTCTCAGCTTTGGCGGTACCCATCCTTGACGTCTTAGCAAAAATCACAGATTGTATTACAAACCTGCTCTAAAAACAACTCCGCCTTATCTGCACAATCAGTAGCAGCAATGAAATCCGCCACATTTTTCACGCTCCATTTCGTCAGCTCCTTGTCGCATATTGCATTAGTCTTTATGTACTCGACCAGTGGAGGACTGGGCTCTACTCCTTGATTCACCGCCACCACCTCTCGCGGAACCAGCTTGGCCCGAACATAGACCGACATCGGGTTGAAAATGGCTTCCTGATTGTTCAACACCGTTTGGTTTGGCGCAATTTCCTGTATTCGACATAGAGGCGGGTAAGGAGGCTTTTCTTGTGAAGCTGATAGCGTGCCGCCTGAAATCTCTTGAACCAGCGACGGTGCAGAGCTGGGCGGAATCGCACTTCCCCTCGATAGACCGACGCTGTGTGTAGTTATCGTTTTCAGAATGTTAACTAAGGAGTTCTTACTGCTGCCGCCTGTTGAGCATCCAGTCGTATTGACCGAGTCAGTCCGCGAAGGATTTAACGCGCTGGCATCGCTGATTAAGTCGCAGCATGAGTGAACTCTTGATTTGGAATGGATATGATCACTGTACAGTGCGGGTGGCGCCTGTGAACCCGACAGAAGCTTCCCTGTAGCGGGAACACACCCAGTATGCACTTCCTTTAAGGCAGTCATTGAGTTCGGACTAGGATAAGGGCGGGTCACGTAGTGTCCAACTGTCGTACAACTGCCGTTCAGACTACATTCGCTTCTAACATGATTAGGCGCACGTCCCTCCAGTGGTGACATCGATTTGTCCCCCACCCTGTGCGTCCGTTGTGCTCCAGCTGGCACAAATGCATAAGCCGCTTCTCTGGTGCTTGTCTTGTATACAGGCAAAAGGTAACCTGGCCTGGGGTTAGTGGGAGTCCCAGGAGTGGGAGATGGGACTGGGGCCTTCGCTAAGTAAACGATACATTTGGAATCGACAGGAACCGACGGCATTGCTACTTGAACTTTAACCGCGGCTGATGTGGTCGTCATGGTTACCGGTGATGTCTTGCAAATCGAAACTGGGCTAGATTTTGTAGGAGATTTTTTAGCTGCGAAGAAGTTAAAGTTTGGAGTTTCGTCGCGGCGATTTTGCAGGGAATAGCACTGCTTTATCTGTGGCATAGCTTCTTCTATAAAATGAAAACAAAAGAGAAAATACAGACCTACTGTATAACTAACTGTATAACTACTGTAGAACTAATCAGTCCGGGTGAGCCTCAAGGGGAACGCCGGGTGCCATTTTTACACTGCTGCAACGTCGTGGCAAATAGCATCAGGCCGCAAAGCTCATGTGGGAGAGGTGGGTGAAGAGTGTCCAGAGAGGAAAGCGTGACGAGCACTAAGACCCTGTTTACATGGAGTGGGGGACCCCGGTTTAGTGGGGTAGGTTTCTTTTGTTTTGTGTCCCCCAAAGCGTGAAAACAAAAGAAACCAACCCCACTAGACCGGGGTCCCCCACTCCATGTAAACAGGCCCTAAGAATACTTTTCGTTGACACTATTGTTTCGTAATTTTTTTTCACCCCCCACAAAGAAACGCTACTTTGCGCTCATCAGTTGAGAGATTCTGGAAATACAGAGGCCTCTATCTCGTCGCTCCCTACTGTCGCGTCGAGCGGCGTGGAGCGATTAGGGCTTGGCTAATCTTAAAGGGGCGATGTCACAAGGATATTGTTGTTTTAGGTCAATTCTGTGCTGAAGTCATTACATAGTGCCTTTAACCGCCGGGGGGGGGGGGTACTCCCATACATTACCTATACGGGTATGTGCCGCCCAACGGGATCGGGATTTTGAAGCTCATGGTTTTGAACGGGGTATCCATTTTAGAGGCGTTTTCTAGAACGGGGTATAATATTTCGAACTCACGAAAGCTCCATTTTTTTAAGCAGCCATTTGAAATTATTCAAGGACAGATTGCTTTTAAAAATACGGTTCAATGCGTTAACAAGCAAACTGTTATACTCTTGTTGCACCCTAGAACGGAGTATAAAAAATTGGCCCATTTCTAGAACAGGGTATCAGTTTTAGGGCGAATTCTAGAACGGGATATAAAAAATTGGCCCATTTCTAGAACGGGGTATCAATTTTAAGGGAAATTTTTTACAAAACGGGGTGCCAATTTGGAATCGCGGGCGGCACATACCCACCCAAAAAATACCCAAGTGCCCCCGCGGGCTTTAACCATACATAGAATGCCCCTGTAGAGTTAAGAATGAAGATATCAAACAAACTTCCCCAAGGAGCACAAACCATAATAAGTTTTGGGAGGATTTTTGTAGGGATAGCGTTAAAACTTGAAAAAGTTTCAATCCATGTTCATACTTGCCATCCCACGTTGCAACAGACGGCAGGAAACAGTAAAATAGATAAAAAATATGTCTTAAATGACATTAGACTGCAAAACAGTCGGGTTTTTTTTTTCTCAAAATCATTAAAAAAATCGGAAAAGCGTGGCGTAAGAGTCTTGTGCGCGCGAGCCACATTATACTACTACATGAGAAATTTCTGCAATTTGATTGGCTAAGAGCAGTGGTATTTCAGCTTAATTTGAAATACCTACTCGTGAAAATTACAAACCTTTTGCGGGTAGTAGTATAAACAAATAATAGCATGATTTGTACGTGACATTTGGCATAAATACCACTGGTGATATTTCAAAATTGTCTCAAATTACTTATACGTAATTTACAATTTCGAAATATCACTCGTGGTATTTATGCCAAATATCACTACAAATCATGCTATTACCTATACAAATTGAGTCATTAGTTTTTGAATTCAGTTGATGCGAAGGCAGCAAACAGCGTGACATTGCCCCATTAAACAATTGCACCTTGACATACCAAACTTTGAGTTTACAAACACTGAAGTCGACACGAAACTAATTTTTGAGTTCTAGGCACTTAAAGCTAACATTAAGGGTGTCTTAAACAGGCTAGTGAAGACTGACGCCATGGTAACTTCATCTCTTGTGACGCTTTTAAAAGTCTTAAAAGTGGTCCTAATTTGCCAACAACTCTCATTGGCTAGCCATTTGTTTTGCACTAAGGTAGCAGCAACTGACATGTGAGGTAAACTAAGATCAGGCCAAATTGTATTTGCTAGCTAAATGGAGTGATAGCATGCATCTTATCCACAAAGTTGGTGTAGGTTGAAGATAACAAAATAAGGTACCTTTTTCGTTTTCTGGTTGATCTACGCTTTTATGACTGGGTCTTATTACTACTGCACTATTCGCAGAACTTGAAATCGTGACCGGCTAGAAAAAGATATAAAATGAAAACGTTAAAAATTGTAATTAAGCAGAAGTAAATTAAAATAAAGAAAATTAGAAAAAGTCCTTTTCCCATTTTCCTCTTTTCTCCGCTATGTCAGGTTGGCTCTCCAGAATAAAGTTTGTGGAAAATATAGGTAAAAAGTTCCAACTTGTTATTCCTTTGGTACTAGTAGCTACACCTCTCGCGTCAAAAACCCTAGATCCGCCCGGGGCAAGTAAACTGCGAACACTGTATAGCCTACGTGGTAGGAGCGCAATGGAGAAGGGGAAGAAAGGAAGTTGCGCGTGCTAAAACGCGAAGAACGCGCTCCCTTCTCGTTTTGCGCGCCCCCGAATTTTCCTTTCCCATTCCCCTTCTGAGTTTACCAGGCGTGCAGGCAAACCTTTAATGAACAAAGGACAGACTTTCTCTAGCTTACCCCATTTTCTCTTGCTATACTCTCCAGCGTCGTTGGCTTGTCAACACGCATGAGAGAAGGCTAAAATTATTGAAAAATGAATGCATATAAATAATTAGTTAATTAACTAATTAGTTTAGAGTCTCTTTAAACTAATTATGGTGCAATCATTTTATTGTAAAATTTTACCGTGCGAAACATGCCCTCCCATTAATGTACTTGACCGGCTTTTAGACGTTTTACAAAGGAAGATTAATCACTCTCAAAAGCTCTTTTTAAGTGCAACGACCAGTTTTGTATTGCAAAGGGTAACAAATGAACAGTTATTTCCATCAATGCTGCTTTCGGTGAGGCGAAAACGTAAGCCGGAAAAGAAAATCTGTATTGAAAACAGAGCCTTAGCTAACAAGAGTTCAGAACGAGACAAGACTTGGTTCAGAACATAATAGGGCCATTTATACGAGGAAAAATAAGACGCGTCTTACATAGGACGCGTCTTAAATAAGACGCGAACTTTCCGTATAAACGACGCATTTCGTCTAAAATAAGACGCGGCTTAGCTAAGACGCGTCTTATTTTAGAACAGCCCTTAACACCTGTTCTTAGATGAGACGCGTCTTAGCTAAGACGAGAAAAACCTCGTATAAATGACCTTCGCGTCTTACATAAGACGCGAACCCATAGTACGCATGCGTTAATTTTTGGCGCGCCACGTTGGATTGTCGTTGCAACGGGCAACATTCACATGAAAACGAGTCAAGAACAGAAATAAGACGCGAACCATTTATACGAGCTGTTCTCGTCTTAGATAAGACATGCTCGTATAAATGGTACAGTTCGCGTCTTATTTTTTCTCGTATAAATGGCCCTAATGTTTAGTTTTAAAATAATCTTCAGTCGAACAAGATTAATCAGTTTCTTCTGAAAAAATAGGTGATGAAAAATTCTGAAGATAACCCGGTTTTGGAGCTTCTAGATGTAAAATTTTTCTGGAGGGTATGCCTCCCCTCCTACCCCTCCCAGGGCGTGTCCCTCGTCTCCAGTCTGCCTCCCGTGATCTTGTATGTCAAGAGTTGTCAATAAATCAGATACAATATCTACATTAAATCGTCGGTGAGAAGAAACCAATCTTCTTCCCGAGGGTTTACAGTATATATTGCCGGCTTCGAAAAAATTAATTTGTAATTTATATGTAAATTTTATTACGCGATATGCTTCTCCAAGAAAGACGAATTGTTTATTCGTTCTATCTTCCCTTTTGTGTAATAGTTTTTTCCCTTACTCTTCTTCTCCCTTGTATTTGTAAGTTAAATGCAGATGCAAAAATACTTAAAATCATTCTGGCGTTGCTATGAAGCGGGCATAATCTAAAATACTGCTTTTTAATAGGAGTTCTGACTGATTTTCATAAACTGTCGAAGTCACACGAAATGACCTTATTCCAATCGGATGTTTTACGAATGTGTTCGATTTTTTTTTTAATTTGGATCACAAGTGAAAAGCGAAAGTTGCCGACGCACTGATTTGGAAACAAGACCAGTTATAACTCAGCTTGATCACTTTGAAAAGTTCTATTCGCCCAATATTTGTATTAATTTCGTCCTTACTTTTTTCTTTTGTTTTGTGACGACAAAGTGTCAAAAGTGTATAAATTACCAAATTCGCTTGGTTCAGTGTTAGGTCTCCAAACTGCTAAAGTGTAAAACACTTTAAATTTTACGAACAATCATTCCAAGCTTCTCTAATAGCCCTGAGCTAAGTCAGGGATATATATATATATACACAGCTATTTCGGGGAAGCCAGTTGTCGGGTAAACGGCACGCGACAACCCTGAAGGGTTTTGTGGGTGGTAGTTTGAGTTCTCTGTTTTTCAAAGAAATTTGAAAGAATGGCAGGAGAGGCTATGGACATATGTCTGCGGGTGCTAAAGGAAAGTAACAAAAGTAGGTTCGACAGCTACAGTGTCAAGAGCAGTGTATTCTGCATATTCCATATTACCTTTGGGAATAGTCGCGTGCACATTTTTTCCGACAACCTTTCTCGAAATAGCTGTATATAGATCTTCTTCGATAAAAGGCGCTCAAAACTGTATCGTCAAGGAATATAGCAATCGAAGCATAACGAGTCCCGCTTCGTCAGTAATTATTTTTCAAAAATTTGGTAAAGTTAGTAAAATTGGAGCATAAAAAAATATTGATAAGTTTAAATTAAAATTACTGTTCAATTTATGCGGTGAGCGTTAAGGTACTTCATCATCAAATGTTTTCTAAGCCATTGATAATGCTTCATATTAAAATTCAGTGTAACTTAGAATTTAGATACTTATAAGGATGAAAAATTTGGTTAAACATTTTGTATGAGGATTATTATCACAAAAACAAAACTACATTTCGACGAACGCGGTCTGTTTTTCTTTGATAATTTTCCTTTTGAACATCATTCCCGGTGAAAATTTCCATTAACTCCAATAATTAGGGGATTCATTTCAAACACCTTTTTGAATTTTTCTTCACTCATGCAAACCGAGTTTACAGCAACGCATTCGTTTTCTTTGCGCAAAGCATGCTGTAATCGAATCCCACGCAAATTTTAAGGTATCAAAAAAAACGCGAACTTCATGCACATTCGATCTGCCTACCATTTCGTCGATATCACCATCAATATATATAGCCTCTAGCTTCCTTTTTCTGTTTGTCCTATCCGGCTGTCCATTTGTTGGTTCCAGGCGTAAAAGCTTTTGTATTGCGACAGGATTTGCCTCATTGCTGTTCCCAGCTTTTTCCGGCCCTGTGAAATAAGAACGTAGGACTTTAAATCTAGCTGCCATTTCCAAGCGGATAGCTTAAAGCACCAAAAGTCGAGAAGATTCTCTCCGCCACGTGCATCGTTTGTTATTTGTTAATTCTTTCTGGCAAAGTTTGGTCGCGTTAGCAAATAAATATATTCATATTCCCGTGGTAACAGATGATAACAAATATTGCGAAGTCAATTTGATTAACAATCATTTTACCAGAGGGGATGACTGATATTAACATTTTACTTTTTACGATTAAAATCGTGGTCTGTTGATTTTGATTTTATTCTGTCCAAGGCGGAGGCTATATAACCACCAGCAATTCCCGGGGGAATCCCTTTAATAAGTTTTTTTTGCAGGGGAGGGGTTTGCCCCTGGGAACCTGAAACCCCCTGGTTCCCTCTTTTCCGTTCATCTCCTTCTTTCTTCACTTTTTCACGACCCAAAGCGATATTTGTATGGGTAAAATCATTGACGTTCCGTCTGGAACACCATAAGAGAGGCGGACCAAAATCTGCATATACTCTTGTTAAAACACTAAACGAGACAACGAGGATCTTCGTTCCTTCGATGTTGTTCCCCTGGTTTCTAGTCTAGACACCAAAAATCCATTTCCTGTCTCAAAACCTTTAGATTGCGGTGCTGCCAATCATTTTTTCCAAAATCCTCTGCTTTGCATACGGCCTGCCTTCAGACTAAACCAATTGAAGACCACGCCCTCCCCTTCGGGTTTCATTCGTAAATACATGCGAGAACCCTTAAGCCAGGCAAAGCCCTAATTTGGAAGAATTTCTTACGTATTTCAAATTGAAATGATCGTTATTTTCATATTCAATATATTCCAAGTGATCTGCGTGCAAAAATGTAATTTCAGTTGTTACCTACTCGAGCGGAAAAGATGGATTTTTAGCTGCCCATGCACTCGAGAGATTGTCCGCTTTGTTCCCGCAAGAAAGCTTTCTTCTGGCCATATAATAAAACCCTTTCATGGCCAAAGGTATTTGCTCAAGGATGGCCAGATATTGGCCGTGTTCCTTCTCAGGTCTGGCTAATATTCGGCCAGTGTTATACGTGTACATAATTGCTTATTAAGAAATTACAAAATCTTGAAGAAAACATCAGTTTACACAATCCACACAGTTGTAAGTAGTACCTGTTTCTGAGGACTTTCTAAAGTCAAGATGTTCGCCAGCCTGATTGTTAAGAGACTGCAAAAATAACAGCAGCGTATGGTTAGTTACGATTAAACAGATGCAAGGGAGGTGATCTGAGACCCAGCTTGAACGAATTCCCTTCAAACATCGACATCGAAGCTGGAGATGTTTATTTACTTTGAACCGCTGCAGCAACAGACTTTTATTGGATCAACCAATAAGATGGCTTCGGCTAAATACTCATTGTTTTAATCATGCTCTAATATAAGAGGTGCTAATCTGTGAATTGCCTTTAAAAGCATAGACTAATATCTCAAAATAAATACGCGCGATAAAATCAGCATGGTGCTGTGTAAGTCTCTCTACCGCATTCAGAATACCTTGGTTTTTTAAAAAACGCTCAAACAATTAAAGTCATCTCGTCATGCTTAGAACTGAAAGACAAAGTAGTCACAATGACTACTCCTTTAAATGCCTAAAAATAAGCAGTGATTATAATTTTTTTAAACTAAATAATTCATGATTAAATTTGAATGGCTTTTTCAATACTGTACCACTCAGTGTACCACTTTGTTATACCTAGTCATGCAAATGAGGCTCGCTGTTGAAAGGCCACCAATTCTAATTAAAAAATCGCTGTTCCGATAGCAAGTATGGCGAGCGGCAAAAGATTTGAGGGTTTGGACTTACTTCTCATTGGTTGATTTTTCGAAAAAGGTCGCGGGCCCGTCTTTCTATGAATAAAATCTGCGGCGACACGTCGTCTAATGAGAATGAAAACGCCACGCGAAAGTTCTGTTTAAGTGTGTGGGTTTTTTTTTGCGGGGGGGGGGGGAAGTACGGAAACGGATTTTTGTTTTCATATAAAATGGATTCTTCACCACCAACGCAATGAAAGATCCGAAAAAAGATCATTTGTCATGACAACGTTTATGTCCTCTAGCACCTCGTGGTAGGCAAAATGCGCGGCGCCACCAACACATTGAGGCTCATTTTCTGACACAGATGATTTGCTGCCGGATTTTTGCCTCATTTCAGTAATGCGATTCAGATGCGACTTGAAATTGCGCATGTAACTAACTACTAGCGATTTCATGGCGATTTGTCGCTGCGCAATCATCGTTAATTCAAACTTGTTGGAATTTCAATGCACTTTATCAGTGATTTTCTGCTCGAGAGTGACCAAAAGCCTCCTTGGCTTGGATGAGTGTTGACATCAGTTGAAACTTACGGTAACCGTTATATACCCTATATAAAGATTGGAAATCGCATCAAAAATTCCTTAAAACTGCGTACTGCAATAATCGCTAAAAAAAATCGCGCGGCAAAACGGCGAGTGTAACCTGGCCTTTACAAGGTATAATGTACCTTTTTCATTTGTCTTTCATTTTCAGCTCAAGTACTGTTTCCTGAGACTCAAACATTTGCTAGAACCTTATGATTAAGTTGGCAAGGAGACTTTGAACCGTGACATGTTCTTGATCTAAGGCATCTAATTTCTTTTCCTCTGTCACCGCGAAACTTAGACTTAGATAATGAGATTTCAATTAATAGTGCCATAAATAAAAACCTTTTACACGAAACTGAAAAACGTGAGTGAAAAATGAGAGATAACTTGGTTAACACTATTAGTTACAGCATCGGTAGGGCGCAAATTATAGGCAAAATATACAACAGCTCAAAACAAAAATTCTACCTTCCATACGTACGTTAATCGAATGAAAGCGTCTCGCTTCTGAAAACTGGAACAGGTGCAACTATGGTTTTTTTAAAAAATCAAAACCGTGTGTTATGAGAAGATTAAAAACTACTCTCCGCATATTTTTCTCTGCGCGCGTTATCAGTTTTCAGAATTCTCTTACCGGGGAACTTGTATGCAAATATTAACCAGCTCGGATATTGATCTTTATGTTCTTAAATATGGCAGCCTTGTGTAAATAATCCGCGATAAAAATTTTACATGATCTTACCTTTGAAGGCGTTTTGAACGCTGCGATGGGTCTTTTCTCTGCGATTTGCGTCGAGTTTTTTAATGTCTTTAACGTGCTCACGTTGTACAGTAACGGCTGTCCCATTGTTCTAACTTTCTCATTTTCAATAAACTTTATTTCGGCCGTGTCCGTCTTTGCGTTTTCTCTAAAGCTCGTTCCTTTTGAACCTTGAGCAAGAAGCGCGCTCCCTAGGTCCTTTCCTCGCGTTTCAAATGAAAGTTCCTTCACTTCATCATCCTGATTTAAAACTCGGGATTGAGTTGCTTCATTTGAATTTTCAATAATTTGCTGTTTCTTGTTTACAAGTTCATTTCTAGTATCATGTGCGATTTCCTCATTTGCCTGGACACGCAGATTTCCAACTCGTTGCCATATGGGCAATTTCTGATTTCGTCGTTCTTCGACCCATTTTTGCCGATCCATTCGTCGCTTCTGCCTTCTTAAGTCCCATTCCTGGGACATTTTCAATATATGCAGTTCATTCTTTTGTTTTTTGGTACGAAATTCTGCTTCCTTGCCTCTACCTTTAAAGTTACTTCGTCCAAGATTTTTGTCTCCTTTTTCACGCGGCTTGTTCATTTCCGACCGTCTTTAAAGTCCTCCAAAACGGTCTCTCTTTTTCCTAAATCTTTTCTCAAAAGATTGGGAAAGTTAGCGAGCGGGGAATAAATAATCACTAACCTGTACAATACTGTTTCACTTTACGAATCAATTTTCTTTCTAAATATGCGCATATCAAGTAGACAACAGAATTTTGAATAATTGTCACACTAGATGACGCCAGTGTACGAAAGCGCTTTCAACAAACTTAACTAATATATTCCCTATTTCGTAAAATATTCGCACAAGTGATTATTTTTGCTTTGTTGGTGCAGAGACCAAAACACATTTTGAATTGCAAACAGGATAATAGCTTCTTGCCCGAAGCGGTTCTGTTAATGCTTTGAGACAATATATTCAATCGATCCTGGTCTAAAAAAAACCGCGCGCTTTAATTTTTTTTCTCATCGAAAAAGAACTATACAAAAATTGTTTTCTATGAAAATACTCACAATGATTAATGATTCCGGTGCGCTATGCAATTACTACAGTTGATAAGAATGGCACCTTTCTCTTTTCAAAGGATCAATAAAAAAAATCCTTTGTCAATTTGATTTCTCTTGCTCGCGATGTAATAAACGCAAAATGCAAATTAGACATTGTTGAAACACGGCGAAACAAAAGCAAACAGCTGCCTTGTGTATGCTAATTTGATTCGTCGTCACCCACAAACACCTGGTACAGGTTTTGTAAGCATCGATTATCATTCACCACTGGAAAGAATTGACAAAATCCACAGTAAAACAGATCAGTGAATGAGTCAAAATAAGCACTATCACACACAATGCTAACAAAAGCTGAATGAAGGCGAGAAAAAAAAAAATGAAATTGCAAGATGTTATAGAAGTTCAAATTCATGGCGCACTTAATATCTAGTCTCGTACCATCGTTTAATATTCAGCGCTTACAAATGGCTCATTACCCATTTCGTCCAATGTCTTACAATATACCGATCTCTCAATCGAATTTTGAATGTCTCAAGTGCTCTGCAAAGTGTTCAAGACCTGAGATATTAATGGAATATTTAATTCAAAAACTTGTTTTGATCATAAAAAAGATCAGAAAAGACGGATAATGATCTGTATCCTAGAAACGATAACATCATTTAATTTCACCAGCAAATTAATCGGCCAACAGGCTTCCTGAAAGAACATTACAAAAGAAAAACAGATAATATTTGTTTTTTCTGTTCAAATGATATTCATTTGCATATGAAAAGCCTTAATGCTAGCTGATTCCAGACCCCAAACGGTTCAACTGCGAACCAGTCCTCTAAGCTCCTCTGCGCTCCTGGAGAAATGACATAAAAGAATGAAAATAACATTAGATTGTAGTTTAATTTCGCTCTGATCCAATTGAAGATTCAGTAAATCCATATTTTTTGCGATGGAAGTGACCATTAAAATAGTCTATTTAAATGTTACAGCGACGTCTTGTTGGAGCATCTCCTCCTTAAACGACATCAGGCAACAAGGTTGAGAGGAATCGGCTGATCGTAAGCTTTATACAGGGTTTTATTCTAATCTCTAATATATAGATTTAACCAGGGCTAAAAGTGAAGCTCTGGTTAATGATAGTTGTAAACAAAAAAAAATTAAATCTTGTAACGCTAAACGGGGATCGAGGGTAATGAAAATGGCATCAAGATCAATTAGCAAAAAAACAAATTGCACGTGCAGCACACTTTTTGTCTTTCTTTGCCGTTCTTTTGCACAACTACAACGCTGTTTTGTAGGACTAAAACGTCGAACATCCTAGTTACACATTGTTTTTATGGAGGAATTGTCTTATGTGCTTACCCAATATTTTGTTTCCTGTGTTCATGATCGCTTTTATTTTTCACTGCCGCTCATTTTTACCTTGCTGGCCGCTAGCATTTCTCATTGTCTCCCAGCCGCTGTGAATTTTCATGTTTTTCTTACTACAAAATTCGTCTCTTTTGTTTTCAGTCACTCGCTCTAGCTCTTTCTCTGTTATCCACGCGAGTGTAAACATCAAAAATAACGTCGAAAAAGACACGACTTTGTTGTTGTTTTTTCTTTCTAAAAGTCCGGGCGGCCATGCGATTTCTTTTCAAATAAAACGTTGAGTTGCATTTGGGTTGCCATACCTGTTGATTGAATTATTTTACTTTGGTATGCCTGTGGTGCAGACGGACGGTCGGGCGGGCGGGCGGTCGGTTATGGTCACGTGATTACCAAATTTTCTCGGATGGGTAGTTTACCACATTTTTTCACCCATGGTGCTCCGCTGCGCGCGCTTCGCGCGCGAGAGCTCCGCTTAAATCACGTGACATAATCACGACTTAAAAAAACTGCGATAACAATATCCTCCACTCTTTCACATTTCTTATTTCTTATTTCCGTGTTCGTTTATTGACTTTCATTCCAGTCATTCCTTTATCTATGTGCCTCAGTGAACATTTTGCTTTTGTTTTGTACATCATTAAAAGAGAATAAATGTATCAGTTATTGCAAAAGAAAAACTTTGAGATTACTGAGATCCTAAATTACACCAGCAACAACTGGGTGATAAAAATTGTCAGCTATTACACGCAAGTTAAAATATGTTCAAATTGAACGGGACCCAGGAAGGTACTCCTGAGAATCATTGGTGGGGTTGTCCCGCCCGGTTCTCCGATCCCTGACCCTATCTCAGACAAAAAATGTCACTTTTCACACCCTTTTCAGACCTGGCCTATAAGCAGGAGCCTTTAAGAAATGATGTGATCATTACTTAAATAAGAACGCCAACAAAAACGCCAACCTTTGCCACTGATCAGAGATCTGACCACTGATCTGGCCACTGATATTAGTATTATAAAGGAAATAAAGGGAGATGCAAAGAATCAACCATACGAGGACACAAAAAAGATTTCTTAATATCATTTCGAATTCGCAGGTTTCTCTTTCTTTCTTACACATTTGGAATTAAAACGATAAATTTGTTCATACACTCTCGTAGTTCCCTCGAAAACCATACCCGATTCCAGAACAAAATGGGCAAAGTCTATACCCATTTTCAGACCAAACGGCGCAAAAACCCCACCCTTTGGGGCGGCACATACCCATGGCTTATATGGAGGAGTACCCCGGGGAACCGGACCTGTTCAACTGCATCAGTTTGGTGATTGGCGATCGTTCAATCGTTAAATGCAATTTTATTTTACAGCTTTTATAACAAATAGTATGCTCCCAAGTATTATCCATGCCCAGCGACACTCCAGGTTAGCTGTCTGAGCGAAAGACATCCCAAAACAAAATAGAATGAAAAAAGTCTATTTTACACACTATAAAAGCAGCAAATGAATCAATATATAGAGAAACACTAAGGAAAGAAAACAAAAACAAACAAACAAATATTTAGCAAAACACCTCTAAGTTCGTTACAATTAATTTTTTTTATTCAAGATATTTCTCGTTCCTGTTACGTTTTGCTTAAATCCCCCGGCTAATTATTAATAACCAGCTAGCGTGGAATAAATGTAGAAGATGTTTTGGCAATATCAATACATTTGACGTCAATTGTACTGATATCGACTAAAAGTGCTACCGTGGCTCAGTTGTTTTGGCAGCCCAGAGCTGGGGAACCGTGGCGGAACCGGAGCTATCAGTGCGTAGCTAGAGTCGAGCTTACAACAGAAATAACCAGCGAACAAGTGATCTCTCGAGACCGCCAAATTCTTGTTTTGATCGCCAAATGAAGTCAAAAGAAAATTTTGAAAGACAGCAAGCTTGCAGTCCTTGCTTACAATCGCCCCCTTCTCTAAAACAAAATCGATTTTGTTTGAGGGCGGAGGGCGGGGCGCCCGTACACAGTCGGGGATATAGGGAATTGTAGTGTTGCGGTGTAGCTTATGTTTTTATGCGCAAGGTTGCGGTGAATAAAATCCCATCTTGCGGTGTTGCGCTGATCTTAAACCGTACGGTGTGCGGTGTTTCTGTTTTTAAACCTACGGTATTTGGTGAAACGAAATAACTTACGGACACTTTGCGGTGTAGTGGTTTATCATTTGGCCCTAGTTACTAGAAAGAGGAACCAGCAAAAACGAGTCAAAACGACCAAAACGATCCACAACGACCCAAAATGATCAACAACGATCAAAACTAATCGGCAAAAGATCCACAACAACCAAGCCAAAACAAGTTCTGCCCTCCTAAGAACCTCGAGTAAAACTGATTTTGATATCTCACTTTTTATAGCATTAACGATGCATTATCGACGAGCATCTAACGTGGAAGCCGCATATTACTTATATATGTAAGAAAATTTCAAAATCTATTGGCGTCATGTTTAGGTCTCGTTTCTTTCTTTCTGAAACAACAAAAAAGTCTCTTTATTATACCTTAATTTATCCTTATTTAACATATTGTACCACAGTTTGGTCCTCCACTTATGTAACAAACCTTAATAGAATTTTTCTTCTACAAAAGCGAGCAGTACGAATTATTACAAATGCAGATTTTCGCGCGCACTCTGAACCATTATTTTTCCGTTTAAAGATTTTGGACATATACAACATTAATTCATTCTATACTGCACAATTTATGTTTTCATATTATCATCAATTACTGCCACCGCTTTTTTCGAACCTTTTTGTTACTAGTAGCAATATTCATAATTATAATACTAGAAGTTCCTCGCATTTCCGTTCTCATGCCTGCCGAACTAACACCAAACAATTTTCTATTTTGTTCCAAGGCCCTAAAATTTGGAATTCTTTACCAAACTCAGTCACTTCGATTTTTACATTGCAATCGTTTAAAACGAAAGTTTTTGATTTTCTACTATATCGATAATGCGTCTTGTACTGTCCGTTGTTGTGTGTTGTTATAGTTCTATTGCTTAATATTATTGTAACGAGGGGGCCTCCTCGTACAAGCCTTGTGGTTTTCTGGGGTCCCCTCGCCACATCTTTGTATAATGTAATGCTTGTGTAATCTTTATTGTGGAAATAATAAATAAATAAATAAATAAATAAATGATCTGTATGGTCTTTTTATAAAATAACGACTTCAAAACAAAAGGAGAACAGGCGAAATTTGGGTTTTTCACGACTGTCTGCTCACTCCCATAAGCGTTGAATGTTTTTTTCTATCTGCATGACTGAATATAGAGTTCGCAAAAAAAAAGAGTAAGTGAAAGATAGAGTCTTGAGGTCAGTCTCGGCTCTCTACTAATCACTAACCAGCTCCGGGATCCTCCATCTCCAATTATAATGGAGATTTGGATTAGATTAATCGTAGGACAAAAATTACATTTGAGATGTCGGTGTTTCGTCACTTTTTTTTTGAGGTGATGCGGTGTGGACAGACCTCCAATGTCCCCCTCAACAAGTAATTCAGACACCCTAATCCTCAAGACACTGAAACCAAAACGAAAACCGATACCCTGAGTGATCCACAAATGTGGAACGTGACGTCATTCCTGTAGATAGCTCTGCCCTTGAAAACGAGGTTTTTACGTCATGAAAAACCGGTAACAATCAAGATTGGCTAACCTGCATGCATTTCAATACAATTGTTTGTAGATATTCTAAATCTCTTTTATGGCACAAATAAACACTAAACTTGTCATCTAACGAAGACATGATTGGTTTTAAAAGCGCCGGTGGAAAAAATCTAAAAGATGCCCTTGATGACTAACAAAATGCATAGAGCCGGAGAGTTCAAGAAGTCTTGGAGCAGAGTTTGTGGTTGCGTGAATGTGTGAAATCAGTCGAAAAGTTTTACCAGCACTAATAACACAAAATCAGTAAAACAATAGACAATTAAAACCAATGAACCCTGAAAGGAGTGCCAGCTTTTCTTTGTTCTGATTACGTATCAAGTTGTCTAATGCCCTAAGTTATGCTAATGAACCTTGTGTCAGTCTGCTTTTGGGACACCAAATACGTGTCGCGAAACCATGGAGTCATCTAACGTAAACATGTAAATCACGCGAGTGTAATCACGCATAGCATACCGAAGGATTGTGTTTCTAAGGAAATCTGGCTTCACGCATGGTTCCGATTCATCATGGTGTTTTTCACTTTCTTCAGTGGGATTTTTACTCGGGTTATATTTCTTGTTCATGGCTTGGTTAGCGTCTATCTAATCGTGGACAGCAAAGGGGAATCAAAGTATTGGTGGTTATGTACTGGACTGTTCTTACTTCTGATAGAATCCTTCTACACAATCGTCATTCGGAGAGGCAAGGAATATAAATAGTAAGTCATCAGAGCTTTATATGCCAGCTAAAAACACGAATCGTTCCCTCGCATTTTTAGGCAAGTTTAATTCGAGTGATATATCATGTTTGCTTTTTATCCCCCCCAAAACAAGCCAGATATAATCCTTAACAAACGCGAATCGGCATCGAGGGTTATAAAGAGTTCAATAGACGTTGAGCTGCGAGTCGAGGAATTTGACAAGATGTTACATTAAGTAAGCAACGCGATCTGTCCGAGTCTTAAAATGGTAGAGCTACACGACTGGTGCAGTTTGAGCTAAACAAAGAACCTCTTTTTGCTCCGTTGCGAGGATCTTTGATCTATAATAGCGGGAACAATTTTTGGATATTAGAAAGTAATTTGCTCCCTGTTGATCAAAAGGTCATTATAACGCAATATTTAATAACCCAGCTTTCGAAAGCGACAACAGAGAGTGAGATCATAATTATTAGTCAATTAGCTAAAACAGTATGTTTTGCTTTCACGGGACATTCGATTCGATGAAAATTTTCATCATATTGGACATTCAGTTTAAGTGGCTTAAGTTTTTTTCTATATAATTCTAGTTTGGCGAATGTTGATAACCACTTGCTAATTGAAACAAGAATTGCAATATATAATTGAACGAAGGGAAGTGTTAGCTAAGTGGTGCAAAGCTGAATTGTGTTAAAACTGTATTAAAATAAAAATGAAAGTATGGTATATAGTCGCAGAATAATCAAATGGCACATTATCAACTTTTAGTTAACTTGTAGTGGCCGTTTATTCATAAAGAGGACGCGAAATTTCAAACAATTTTCAACGTTTTATCGTACTGAAAGTCAGAAAAGCTCTCCCGTACAAGCAGCTTAGTGAAACACTTTCACTAACCATCACTAAACAGTGATTTGACATTGCCTAACTGGCGATAGACAAACAGATAGTTATGCAGTGTTCTTGAACAATATTACAAGAGGAAACGGTTTCAAAGGACTCTATTCGTGGAACTGGCCAATATATGAACACTGATAATTTCGTGTCTGCCGTTGCCGACAAGAAGGAACTTCAGATGAGGTTGAGACGATAGTGTTTGGAATGGCCCGAGTCTGATGTCACAGCAAAAAAGCCAAAACAGTTCTAACCTAAAAGTCGGAATCCTTACTACTTTATGTTTCGTTGTCTTTTACATATACATGGCTGAGTATTTCTTATCTCATCTGTTGTAAACATTTTAATGTACTTGTCTCTTTAAGTAGCGGAAGGAACAATGTGCGCGTGTGCGAGTATAGGCTGTCGTGCAGAAGAACGAAGCTGCTTTCGGAACCATTAGCCTTATCATAAGGCTAGTTATTTGCTTTAATGAGCAGGGAAAATGAAGATCGGCAGGCTGTATGAATGAGACTATTGCAAAGACAATTATAAATCATTAGTTTAGGTCTACGGGAACGGTAATTTCTACTTTTATCCATGAAACAGCTGTTTGTATTAAGACTTTGTGTGGGTATTTCCGACGAAATCGAAGTTGCGGCGATCGCTATCGATGAAACGACGATCTTAGAGATAGAATCTACGATTACGACATGAAAGCATTGCCATTCTTATCAAGGCTGACAAGGTTAGTCGTGCGATAACAGCATAGAAATCCACTCGAAAGTGTAGTGCACCACATAAGGCCATGCATAGCTCGATGATCCGGATGAAGTCCTTCTTGCTTTGACTAAACAATATGGAACTCACGATGGCAAAGCCCGTTTAAGAACCTTTTTCGTATCCGTCGCCGATCGCATGGACTGTTCGTTCTTGCGTTGACCGCGTTAATCGCCGCGCAAGTTCTTGCGTCAACACCCTTAAACGGACTCTTAATATGTGGACATCATAGCTTAGCTTTTGGTTGAAAATGTTTCGCAATCGAACAAGTAAGTGCGCTGTTAATTTCGTTTTCCAGCACTAGTCTGAAATTTCTTAGCCCGCGAGCAAGCCCTAGCTCCATTTCGATTGGCAAGCTAAGGACGCTTAGCGAGCCGCTAAAGAACGCGCAAGCAAGAGTAAAAAGCCTCGAGGGGCAGAGGATGGACCAGGATCCTTTCCTTTCCCGCCCGTCACTTCTCACAAAATCTCCTGAAGGTGGAGAACTTCAACTTCAACTCTTAAAAAAAAAACGGTTATTTCCAAAAACTAACCTAAGTAAATCAAGGAAAAAGCGCTCTGGGGACGAGGTTGCGGTGTTTTGGTTAAGTGTTAAATATGACAAGTGACTATAACTTTGTAATAGTTTGCTTAGTTTTTTTTTTAAATTTCTTTCGTTTGGTCGCGGTTAAGCAGTGGCCGCAGTATACGCTTTATGTGGGTTCTAAGACACCTATGCGAGTTGAGGTCACCCACTTTTTACGACAATTGCGGCGTCATCTTTAATAAGTAGGTAACATTTGTTCCCTTTTTTCAGTATTTGGCCTGGAAGTCTCCTGTACATGTCGACTGTGTTACCAGTTATCTGGGTCGCTGAACTAAAAATCCTCAATGAAAAGATCGCAAAAGGAGCAGATACCTGCACATTTGAAGCGGAAAAAAGTATTTCCGTCAGTGGGCTGGTAAGTAACCGAAAACCGGTCAGTATAAAACGAGGACTGCAGACTGCGAACTGGGTATAAAACACGGACTAGGTATAAAATGCGGACTAGAAACTGCGAACTAATTATAAAACACTGACTAGGTAAAAAACGTGGACTACGGACTGTGTATACCTAGTCCGTGTTTAATACTCAGTCCCTAGTCTCTAGTCCGCATTTCATACCTAGTCCCTTTTGTACACCCAGTCCGTGTTTTATACTGAGCGGACCGAAAACATTTATTAAATAATTGGGTTAAGTATGATCGCCCGGGTGAACGTAGTCCGGAATAGGAATAGGTTGTTGACGGTGATTGACGTAGTGCGCAAGGCACCTTGGGAAGAGGGAAGAAGCGGACGACTGGCCTGCGTAGTTCATGTTGACGTGCCGCCTAACTTTTTTCGGTTGATCTTTGCCATGACCCTTTACGTTAATCTTTAACCTTACCTTTCTCCCTTTACGCGTATAGGCGCCTGAGTACAAGGGGTACAGTAATTTTGCTATGATTGGTCGGAAGACTTGAGAACTGTGCGATAAAATTGACATATTCTTTATATTTCACCAGGTGACAATCACAATCGATTCTGGACAATTAGCACAGAAGTGGTCCAAACTCGGCCTTATATTGCTAATTATTGTGGGCCGGTGGCTGCTGCCAAGAGGAGAATTAACACGTGACCAGCTGTCCACGCTACTTTTAGTCTACGTAGCGAATGCTGCTGACATCATGGGTGAGCAGAGCTAGTTTTTATTTTATTTTTATTTTTCATTCTCTTCCCTTGGCCCTGCTTATCATTAGTACCTCCATCGCTCAGTTGTAAGGGTACAACCAGTTATTGTGAGATGTTATGGACTCGTCTCTAACTTCGTTAGCTGACGTGCCCGACATGACGAATATCATTTACATTTGTGATATTTAGGCTCTGTTCACACTGTCATCGAAAATGCATCGATCGATTCGCGTCCACATCACTGCTTGATGCGTTTTCTACTGGCTGCACAAAAACGTTCGAAAACGGTAGAATTGAACGTTGTGATGTAAGTTGAACTCTATGCGCAAGCCCACGTGATAATATGACGTCATCGTTTTCATTTTGGTGCGTTTTCGACCGTTTTTAACCTTCCACGCCAATACGATATGTATGCAATTTCGTTTTGATTCACTTTCAAGAGCGTTTTCAACTCGATGATTTTCTATGAAAACGCTCAGCGTATTAGTATGAACGGAAGGCCGTAATGCATCGAAACGTCTGCGTTTTCACAAGAATACGCATTATGTCAGCCTAGTCCCTAGGCGTTCTTGGCGAGGTCAATCCTGGACTCTACCGTGAGCTGTGACGTCACCGAGAGGTCAGGAGAGAACGCCTACGGGCTGCGCATTAGTGTGGGCATGGCCTCACAATCAGGCGCTCCTCTTAAACTTCCTTAAAGATTTGGCTCTAGAATATTTTTAACAAAGTGAAATGATAAACGCTTGTTTTTATACCTTTCCCAAATGCAAAAAACTGTTTAATAGTGTCGTATTTAGTTATAACATAGTGAAATAATGAACCCTTGTTTTAATATCTCTCCCCCACCCAAAACGTATTTAAGAATGTGTGTGTGAGTCTTCTAGTACAGGCAGGTCCTTCCTTATAGTTCTCGATCTAAGGCGAGCCTCTTGACCGCTAGGTAAGGGCTGCCATTCTTTACTCTACCCAGCATTCCCACTCGAGGTCTTCCTGCTGGTCTCTTCCCTATTATTCTTCCCTCAATAACTAATGGGACAAATAGGATCACCATGCCGTAGGGTATGACCAAGCGTGACTCTCTGTCTTCTGTTTGACAGTGCCGTATTTAATTGCGGTCTTTGTTAATTCACATTTCAGAGCTCTTTGAAGTATTTGACAAGGAGCCGAGACTGTGGTGTAAAGAGGGCGTTGCTATCGCCGTCTTGGCCACCTACACGTGGTCTTTTCTACAGTTTGCACTCGTTTTTACAGCCACTGCTGAAACTATCCCAGACAACAAAGACGAGAAGAAGGTGAGCTTGGCGTCTCTTATATAGACTACGAGTAAAAATCACCCCACGAGAGAAAGGCGAGACGCGGCGTCTCGCCTTTCTCGTGTAGGGTGATTTTCCCTCGCGCTAGCGTTTCGTTCGCTCTACTATCCCTGAGGAAAATGGGGACTACTCATAGTCTATCTCCTATACAGTTAAACCTGTATTTAGCAATCACTCTTGGGGTTAAAAGAGGGTGAGCGCTTAATGCATGTTTGACTGTTGACTTTGTTGCATTCGCTCAGAGTTCACTGACTTTAGGTCTTATTTTGCCCTAAATCGGATTAAACCCTCGAATTACTCAGACTAATAAATATCACTACCATTTGTCAGCTTCTAAAAACTGACAAAAACCGTTGTTCCTGTTTTAGCTATCCTTGACCTGAAAAATGTTTTATTTACATTTGCAGGAGCCTTTTTCCGAGATTAAAAGAACAGAAGAAGCGCAAAAAGGCGGAACTAAGCTGCCAAACTACATCAAAAAACTTATTAAACAAAAAGCTGAAAAGCAAAAAGCCGAACTTGCTGAAATCGAGAAAAACACGGACTTGCGTGCCGCGATCGATCAAATGAAACAGCTAAAAGCGTACAAAGCTCGTGGAAGACAAGCAAGAATGTCAATACACGACGCCGCGTTTGAGGTAGTACAGGTGCAACGAGAAGTGAGGAGAGAAGAGGAGATACTGGAAAACCACATTAAAGAGAAACAAAAGCTTAAACTTCACGGAGACTTGTATTCAATATTGACTTTAATGTTGATGCAAGATGGACCGTTTCTTATAGTGCGACTTGTTTTGATCATTGCTTACGGTGTCAACGCCACTCTGCATATTTTCTTTACGGGCAAAAACGCAATGGCACTTGCTTTACTAATCTACAGATTGGTGATTCTGATCACGGAATATCAGGACGATGAGGATGAAGACAAGGACAAAGATTTCTACGAATTCTGAAGTTAAACAGCTGCAAATCTTATGCGGTTTGCGTTAAAGTATATTGGAATGTTCCTCGGCTGTTTTTGGAAGAGGCTACCACTCGTTCGCTCCATGTAAGGAAATCCAAGACAGTCTTGGAACCGAGAGGAGAAGGCGCGCTGCACGCTGTCGATTCCGGCAGATTCCAGGTATTGCATTCCGGATTCCAATCGTTAATGGATTCCAGATTTTTTTTAAACCGTATTCCGGATTCCATAGCCCAGGATTCCAGGTTCCATAAGCAAATATTCCTCTCCTTCCGGGAACTTGTCTGGATTCCCTTACATGGGGATAAGAATAACGACGTTCTCAAAGTTGACGTAATTTTATTCACGGTCGTTTAAGACCTGAAAAAAGTTTATTCGGATCATTGTGACAGAAAAAAGTAATTAAGTTAATAGAGAAAATGCTACACTGTACGGTTGGAACCATGTGTTTTTGTATATTTGTATATAGTCGTTTATACAATTTTTCCCAAGGAAGATAACTGCAGTACTTCATTTTGTATTAAATTTAAGACACACATGGAAGCAAAGCATTCAAACCAAGGCAGAATCGAACCGAGACACTTTCGCTTCGTTTTCATGGTAACACCGCTGCCTGGTTCGACAAAAAGAAAAAAAATTGACATGTCACCTCACAAGTAGTGACTGATTTGTACTGTCGTACAGTTGTAATAATGATCGCACTTTGTGTAATACCTGTAGCAATTTGTAATAAGTCGTGTTACGCTTTGTAACATAAAAGCTGTCACAATTTGTAATAACTGCCCATCGCTTTTTGTAATAGACTAAAATGTCGCAATTTGTAACTGATAATTACAAATTTCGACAGCTTTTTTAATACAAAGTGCAACATGGTTTATTACAAGAGTCTTACAAATTGCGAAAGGTTATTGCAAAGTGCGATGATTGTTACAAATTGCGACAATATAGTTTAACTTTTCGTGTAAGCACGAAAAGCTATCTAGTAGAGTGTAGAAATTATTCCACTATCACATTTATAGGCTATCTGAACTGATAAAGTTTTATCATGTATTTATTTACTTATTTAGATTATACCTTCCAGCCCTGCAGGGCGCCATGAAAACAGGAGTCTTTTAATTGCTTTATGAGTAGAAATAAACTTGTGATTGATCAAAGTTATCCATTCGTTTTGCATGAGTCACAAGAAGCAGCAGTTCATCACAGAGGGACATCCGACCATCGGCCAACGGTCACCTAACTTTAGACGTTCAATCTATTTTTAGATTTCTTTCCCTTTAACCTCCGCAAAAATTCTATATGGTGGTTGAACATTTGAATGGAATTCAGTAGGCCATTTCCGAATTACCTTTACCCTCCTCTAAGCGAGTCCTGATCTCATCCTTTCATATGAACATAAGTTTAAAGTTCGAACACAAAAATTAAATTCATATCAACGAAAGGGTAGGCTATCCCGGGGGGAGGGGGATATATACGGGCCCATATATACGGACTTCACGGGTATGCACCTCTCAACAAGTTATCTTTTGCCTCTCTGTCTCTTGAACAGAGTATACGAAACCCTCTTTATCTCTGGAAGTGGGGTATATTCCGGGGGGGTACTCGATATATCCTTGGGTGGGGAGGTGCGGCTCGGCCCCTCATACCCTAACCCTCTTAAAGACAAAAATCGCTGATTTTCCTGCCCTGTTTAAGGCAGATTCTAAGACATTCGTATAACATACGCGCAGGCTGTTTATCGTCCAAGAAAAGATACCCTGTTTAAGACAAAAACTGATAAAATCGATAGCCTGTTTAAGACAAAAATCCCGAAAAACATACCCTGGCTGGCCGCACGTTCCATTAAGCCCTTATAATGGACTACCACCCCCCCCCCCCCCCCGGGGGTATATTCAACTAATCCCGATTATTCTTGAGCAAGCTTAGGTCTGAGACTATATACGTCCACCTTCCTGTTTCTTAACTGCTAAGTTAAGACAAAAAAAAATTCTTCGTTGTATGTTTACATGGACAGTTAGGCTCAGGAAAACGCCCCACTTTACAAACGTCTGCAAAATTCGGTGACTTTGCTAAGCCATATCTTCGTTAGAATTCAACAAGTCACTCTTAAACGTGGCAGCTTTTAATTAACAGTTTTCAACGTAGCGATCTTGCCAGCGATATCTCTTAATTTGCGCTAATTGGTCCATGCAAAAAGTTGATAAAAATGGGATGGATTATTGTAAAAGAAATTTTTTTTTGCTTGAGGGGACAGGATTGTGAGTACATAATGAATGGTTGGGATATATAAGCTTATTATGCGTTAAAGTGTTTGTATCTGTCTGTAGTTTCGAACTAATTGATCAAGGTAATAATTTCTCAGTTGGGGAGTAGAACGCGTAAAAAAACAACAAAAACAAAATGTTTGAAAGGTGAGAATTCATTAAGTGTTAGGTACACATTTAAGAACTATTTGTTCAAGTTGAAGTATCAATTATTTCTTGGTGGGATAAAAAAGAGAAACACTGTAATTGGTTGTAAAAAGGTGGAAAGTTTTTTGTTTGTTGTGATGTGTGTTATTATAACACCGTATAGTTTACTGACAGGGAGTTTGGCTATAGAGCTTTTACGATCTCTCTAATCAACGGTAATTTGTTAATTTAAGGTGTCTGCAGAGAAAGGCCCCTGTCAGTCTAGTTTTCTCACTGGCAACAATAAGATGCTCTAAATTAACATGCTCTCTTTTATTGTTTAGAATCTCTACTTTAATTTAGAACGTCTCTTTGAGTTATATATCCGTCCCTAAGGTAAAAAAGTGTATTTTAAGAATCTGTACGAAATTAAAAGAAGGGGCAAGAATTAGTAATACAGAGCCAAACCAAATTAAATTCTATATTTTTCTCTAGTCAGGAATTAAAAGGAGTGATCAGCTTTATATTTTTAACACATGCACTGTTGGCAGGTGTAATATTAATAAAAATACTATCCGGCAACAACAGATTCAGATACGCTTACGTAGCCGCACTCACAAATTAAGCAAAATTGAGCAAGAAATAACCATAAGCCGTTCAAAATGTCAAAAATTCAACATTCAAGACATTTTTATGACGATCCTTATTGTTTATTCTGATTATAACCACCGGACTACAAAAAAGAGGATATATCTCCTTTCTACTTTTCACCAGTAGATTATTAGTTATAATCACTCAGCGATACAATTGTTTCCCCAGAACTGTATAAACAATTAATCGGTCATTTTGTGGACTTCCCGACTTGATCCTTTCAAAGCTCTCATGTAGTTTTTGTGCGAAATATTAATTAAACTTCTTTGAAGGCTTGATTGTTTTGATAAGAAAAATGCAAAATCCTAACTAGAATATAAATAATTCACAAGCAAGCCAAAACCGCGTATTAAACGACCTCTAGTTTTAAAGTAGAGCTGTAATCAACATACGGTACCATGCAGTGTAAAACACACAACGTCGCCTTAAGGCAACATATAGGCTCACGTTATAACGACTTTACACAAACAAGCTGTGGTCTTAGAGACTTTGGACGGCATTAACATGCTTCAGTACGTAAACAGGCTGTCTTCGGCGCCAGAGGTCGTCAACGACATGAAGTCTGTCCTTAAAGCCACTAATGTAGACTACACCGCAGCAACCAAACGATTTATTACCAAGAATTACAATCGCCGAGTGAGCTGTCCTGAGGTAGCACTCAGGGCAAGAAAGAATTCACGACAAGACGAAAAAGCACTTCTCGATGCACGAGTAAAGATCAACATCAGCGGGAATATTTACGAAACTTTTTATTCGACTCTGGCGCGATTTCCGGATACCCTTCTAGGGGATCCCGTTAGAAGGAGAGATTACTTCGATCACGAGCGACAAGAATATTTTTTCAATCGCAACAGAAATGCGTTTGATGCGATTCTTTTTTATTACCAATCGAATGGTCTTCTAACCCGGCCAAATAACATCAGGTTGCAGGAATTCTGCGAAGAGTTAAAGTTTTTTCAGATCAATGACGAAACTCTAACTGAATTCATGAGAGACGAGGGTGCTATTGAAGAAGGTGAAGAAGACGTAGAACTCCCAACGAATGCAATTTTACGGAAAATATGGCTATGGTTTGAGTATCCAAAGTTGTCAAAAGTTTCTAAACTTGTTGCGACTATTTCGGTTTCATTCATTGCAATTTCGATCTTCGTTTTATGCGCCGAGACAGTAGTTCACGAGAACGAAGGAAATACAACGTCTATAACTGACTTGGAACAGTTCAGGAAAAACAGACCGGCTGAACTTACAAAGTTATACAGCGTTCTAGAATCGCTTTGTATCGCCTGGTTCACTTTAGAATTTTCGCTTCGAATTGTTTCGTGCCCAGACAAGGTGAAGTTTCTTTTTGATTTCTTGAACGTAATAGATCTCGCGGCTATTTTGCCACACTACGTACAGATAGTATTGGGTGACTCACGGTCTGTCAGTGAAAAAACCGACGCGCTAAGGTTACTTAGAGTATCAAGATTGTTCAAATTATTTCGACATCTCGACGAGCTTAAAGTTCTCGCCAAAACAGTGCGAGCGACGTGGCGGGAATTAATCATGATCTTGTTTTTTATCATAATAACCACAGCGATCTTTTCTGGTTGGACGTTTTATGTTGAGCACGAGGAACAAAAAGATATCTTCTCTAGTATTCCAGCAACATCTTGGTTCGTGATCGTCTCGCTTACAAACGTTGGTTACGGCGATATGGTTCCTGTAACGGTGATGGGAAAACTTTTAGGAGCATTATGCACGTTAGCAGGTGTACTAGTAATTGCTTTGCCTAGTCCTGTAATTGTTACCAAATTTCGTTTGTTTTACGAGAAGAAAAAGAGAAAAAAACTGGCGCGTTACAGATTTTAGGTAAGGTAATCATGAATTTAACATTGCTTCTTGGAGATTTACAGATACCATTGTGACTGAATGCGAGTTTAACGTTTACAAGGCAGTCGAAATTGTTAACATGAAACATGACAGAAATAAAACCATCAAGATAGCGTATTGCTTTCTTTGATCTGGTTAATTGCTACAAACTTGCTAGACAGACGCTAACGAACCTAATCTTGACTGGCAAACAAATAAATCATATCAAATTCTTACTTTTGTGAAATAAAAAAATAATTTGGATACTGGTATCTCATAATGCGGCCAGTTTTTATTTCGCGGTTAGATTGGCGATCGATCCTCAGCAACGTGAATAATTTATTCAAGTTTAAGGATGAATTAGTTATTCTTGTAAGGCGCGAAAAAATAATAATCTTTCCAACTGTGCAAGTTTTTAAAACTATACATAATAACTAACCTTAATAAACAATTAGTAGAACTGTGTTTGAGATGGTGGTTTCTTTTTAGGTGAACTGAACTTCTTACTCCAGAGGGGAGAATGTCATCTTTTCTTGTAAATTAACTATTAAACGCCTCCCCTAAAAGAAAACAAAAAAAACTTGTAGATACATTCATGAATTTTTCTTTTGTTTATTTAAGATATTAGCTCGCTTTCGTTTATTTTATCACGCAACCTTTTTTTTGCGGAAAAAAGACCTGCTTACAAAAAACAAAACAAACTCCGAGGTAGAATTGGGTTCAACTCTTTTGAAGTCAATCTTTACTCATTGAGCCATATTCCTTGTTTGTGTTAATTGTGGGAAACCGGTCGTTTCGATACGAACTCAAGCAGTGAAATTGCACAAAAATTTCGTTCACTTCAAGGGTAGTTTGCGCGTGAACAAGAAAAACATTTTGGGTGAATATTCTTTGTTCTTTAAGCCAAGTACGTGGAACTGTTTACATCTCGACTGAATAAACTTTTGTCAAAACGACATTTTATCAAAAAAAGAGCGGTAACCTTCGTTGGGTCAACTATGTAGTTGCGCAAAATGTTGCGCCTTCAAGAAACACGCGAGAAATGTGGAAGATAGAGCCTAGCTAATCTCATAGGGCCTATCGAGAGGATCTGTAAATTTCTGTAGGTTCCAATTTGATATTTGCGTTTTTTGTCATCCCCTAAATAAATAGATAAATAAATAAACAATAAGGTTCAAGAAAAAAAAAATGTGTTTAC